GTGACGTGGGTGCCAAGACGCGTATGCTCTGACTGTTTGTGTGATGACAGGAGATACTTCGTTTTGTCCTCGTTCACCACCAGATCCATTCGCTTTCCTTCCCTATCCAAACCCGAGAAGGCAAAATCAGTGTTGCCAGGTCTTCGGCATGAGAAAACGTCCCTCTTGTTCTGAAAGAACGTCATTTTCTACCCAAAAACGTCTTTTTCAAATGTATGCACAAAGAATTGTTCTTATTAAACTTTCATTGTATACAAAGGTACATATGTACGTAAGGTATATTAAAATGTCATTTTCTCACATTTAAAATTCATTCTAAATTGGTTTGAGATCATTAATATAAAAATCATTTCGGCGGTTTCTTTTTTGTTTATTTATTGTTTATTATTTTTCCATAAAAGCCTAGCTCATTATATAACAAAAAAAATATAAATCCACATTTCAAACTTTGTGCAAAAATTATAAAAAATTGGCAAAATATCAGCTAGATTTTCAACTTTTTATTCAGATTTTTCAGATTTTTTTTTATGCAGGTTGATAGCCCATTAAATTCCAGGGCAATAATGTGTAAGTTTTAAGGTGCTAAAGAATCGCGTAGATTTTTGATATATTTTTTTTTCTTCCTGTAAACATTTGGTTAAGTGGTCTGTTGTCGAAAATGCTAAATTACGTTCTGTTAAGAAGGAACATAGCAATATTTCAGCCTTTTTACGTTCATTACATTTTCAATAAGGGGCCCCATGCGACTAATTGTGTCATTTTCTTTATGCGCTTAAATAAGGATTAAGTCATCTGTGTCGAAAGAATAAATATGTTTGAACCATCTGCTACAAAAAACAAAGCTTGTAAAGATTTATTAAGAAAATAATTTAAAATCAGTTCTACTTACAAGATTTAGTAACAGAGAAAAATTACTGGGAAGTTAAAAAACGTAATTTTTTACACAAAAAACGTCCAAACGTCAACAGGATATAAAAAAAAACGTCCAAATGACGTTAAAAACGTCAACCTGGCAACGCTGGGCAAAACAGACGTAGCCCTTGTTTTACCGATAATATCGATGTCGTCGGCATACGCCAGCAATTGTACGCTCTTGTAATGTATTGTGCCTGAGCGGTTCAGTTCTGCGGCTCTTATTATCTTCTCCAACATTAAAGAAATCACACGAAAGGGAGTCCCTTGTCTGAAACCTCGTTTGGTAGCAAACGGCTCGGAGAGGTCCTTCCCTATTCTGACGGAGCTGGTGGTATTGCTCAACGTGATTTTACACAGTCGTATTAGTTTCGCGGGGATACAAAATTCAGACATCGCGGCATAAACGCAACTTCTCTTCGTGCTGTCGAAAGCGGCTTTGAAATCGAGAAATAGATGGTGTGTGTCGATTCTATTCTCGCGGGTCTTTTTCAAGATTTGGCGTATTGTGAATACCTGGTCTATGGTGGATTGGCCAGGTCTAAAGCCACACTGATAAGGCCCAATCAGTTCATTGACGGTGGGCTTCAGTCTTTCACACAATACGCTCGATAAGACCTTGTAACCTTTGCTTAGAAGGCTGATCCCGCGGTAGTTGGCGCGAATGGCGGGGTCACCTTTCTTGTGGATTGGGCAGAGCACACTTAAATTCCAGTCGTCGGGCATGCGTTTATCTGACCATATTCTCCACAAGAGTTGATGAATGCACCTTATCACCTTGAATAGCTCAGCTGGCAGGCTGTCAGCTCCAGCGGCTTTGTTGTTTTTCAGCCTCGTTATTGTTATACGTACCTCGTCATATTCATCATTGACTGTGGGCTCGGGTTCTTCTCCACAACTTTCCGTCCTGCTACCATTTAGTAGGGCGGAAAAGTGTTCCCTCCATAATTTAAGTACGCTCTGGACATCAGTTACTAGGTCGCCATTATTGGTCTTACAGGAGTGCGCCCCGGTTTTTAAACCTTCCGTAAGTCGCCTAACTCTCTGGTAAAATTTTCGGGCATTCCTCCCGTCGGCCAGCATTTCAAGCTCTTCGCACTCACGAATTTCGGCCTCTCTCTTCTTGTTGCGGCAAATACGTCTCGCTTCCCTCTTCAGATCCCTATAGCGGTCCCACATAGCGCGCGTTTCGCCCTATCGCAGCATGGCCCTGTAGGCGGCATCTTTTTTCTCTGCAGCTTCCTGACACTCCTCATCGTACCAGTTGTTCTTTCGGGCTCGCTGAAATCCGACTACTTCTTCGGCGGCTTAATGAGCGGGAAATGTGGTTCCACTGCTCGCATATGTCGGTTTGTTGAAGAGTGCTCTCTGAGAGCAGGTGTGAGAGTCGAGTAGCGAAAGCGTTGGCTGTCTGTTGTGATTGCAGCTTTTCGACGTTAAGCTTTCCTTGCATATTTGGGCGCACATTTTTTGCTGCACAGAGGCGGGTGCGTATCTTGGCTGCAACAAGATAGTGGTCCGAGTCGATGTTTGGACCTCGGAGTGTGCGTACGTCTAAAACACTGGAAGCGTGCCTTCCGTCTATCACCACATGATCGATTTGGTTTCTCGTTTTCCGATCTGGAGACAGCCATGTAGCTTGGTGGATGTTCTTATGCTGGAACCTTGTACTACATATTACCATGTTTCGGGCCCCGGCGAAGTCGATCAGCCTCAGTCCGTTATCGGACGTTTCGTCGTGGAGGCTGAATTTTCCGACAGTGGCGCCAAAGATCCCTTCCTTGCCCACCTTGGCATTAAAATCGCCAAGCACGATTTTGACATCGTGTCGGGGGCAGCGCTCATATGTACGTTCCAAGCGCTCAAAGTTTTCCACTTCTGCGCACGGAACCATCCTCCTTTTTAGATTATTCTCACTTTTTGCGTATTCTTTAATTTCCGTTAATTTAAATTCAGTTGAGTTTGACACTTTTCAAGATTTTGCCAGCAAAAATTCTTCTGACTAAATCTGACTACTTCGGACTGAAGATAGCCACTCTCACTGAGTGTTGCTCTCTAATTTTTGCTGTCATTTTTGAGTTAAGAAACGCTTTTAGGACTAAATCTGACTACTTCGGACTGAAGATAGCCACTCTCACTGAGTGTTGCTCTCTAATTTTTGCTGTCATTTTTGAGTTAAGAAACGCTTTTAGGACTAAATCTGACTACTTCGGACTTTTTCTGACTATTTCTGGGAGATAAGGAACGCAACTAATAACAAGAGACAGCAAACAAAAATGGAGTGAGCGAGATGAGAGGAATGAGAGAAATATGTAGCAATTCCAACAACAAAACAACTAGCACAGGGTCGCATTTATCTTGCTATGCCATTTTGCAAAATATATACATGGGTTTCGACGTTGCATATTTTGCAGCGATAGGAAGAGTTGTTTCCCATGAATTTTGTTGTTGTGTGTTTGCAAGTTATGCAATGATATATTTTTATTTAATCAAGTTACGAAGTGTACTAAACGATTGCTCCACAGTCATGGCTGGGCATGGAAAAGCGCTCAAAATGGAAATACGCTTATTTATCGCTTGTAGAAATTCGTTTTTTTTTTTTTAAATAGATCTACAACTTCAACATCAATCATATCTTCTTCGGACAAGTTCTTTTTCTCTTTTTTCCATAAATTGTACCAAAGAATGAGTTTACTGCAATATCTAGATCATAGATCTGTTGAAAATTCTTCGCGTTCTTTTGTACCTTTTCACTGAAACATTTAATCTCTACCCAGAATTACAGCGGACGACGGTAGAGCGATCTGCGGTAAGTGAACAGCTGAACAGTTGCCGCAGTGAAATCTGTCAGAGTAAACAGCATTGCGGCCCACGACGGCTTCCGTCAGTTGCCATTTTGATTTGAAAATTATCATTAGAATTAAATATTTTTTCGGTACGTGCATGTATGTACATAAATTGTCTGGAAATATGGATGAAAACATTAGCAAACTTGTGAAAATAATAAAAACTACTACAATCAACACTCAATCAACATTGTTCCGTCCCCGCTGGGCGGTAAAAATATAAATAAATTTAAATCAACCGAAAAACGTCGGAGATAAAAGCGCTGCGCCGCAATTATGGATCATTCCATATGCCTTTGTGAGTTTTAATTTTGACAGCGGTTAACCGTCGACCGCTTTACCGTCGTCCGCTGCAATTCTGAGTAGAGCGTAGTTGTAAAGGGGCCGTTAGTGAATCCAGATACGGTTTTGTTATAGACCGTCGCCAGGACTCATTTCCATTGACCGATTGGGGTTACTTCTGTTCTTTTGTTTACCTACCAAATGTGGTAGAGAAATTTCAACTCCTAGATCGGCTGTAATCATACGGGATTTTTTAATTAACTCCGTAGTGACTCCTTCTGCATTCTTGGGATCATTCTTAACCACCTCTAAAATATTTTTAGTATGCTGACCAACGGCGATGAGGTCTAGTTATTGTCTTCATTTGCAAATTGTTTGCTGCAGGTTTCAGAAACGTTGAATAAGAACATCGGCCTTGTTATAGCAGCACACAATTGACACGCAGACTTGCTTGTGGAAAGTTTCCCTGAATTGACAACTATTCTAAAGCTTCTACAACTTCAGGAAAATTTTATAAAAAATTTCTTCATGGCCTTATATTTTTCCGACCATCTTGTTTCACACAAACGTGATATATTAGGATCATAACTCTTGCGTGTCGTTGATTCGCGAAAAAAAGTTTGTCACATCTTTTAGGGTAAAAATAGTATTTCCCCCATTATTTTATTTATTTTTGCGCTGTGCTAGCTGAGTATCAAAATAGAAGGGAGTAGAGAGAAATATGTATGTGGGTTGTTGATGCTTTCTAAATACAAACGCGTGATATTGTTGATTATTATTAAAATTGCATTTTAAAAATACCACTGTGTCCTACTGTGGTAGAAATATTTCATTTTGAAACTTGAATCATAGATATCGACCCAGTACATCGGCTGTTTTGCTCTCACGTTTTTTTGGGCTTTGATTTGATATATAGTATAGATATAAAATATATATTAACCTAATTTGTTTTTTCTTCAGCTGAAAATACAAAGTTAACAGTGGCTACCATCGAGGGTGGTGATGTTATTGCCAGTATACCAAAACCCGGCAAAGGTGCTGAATATTTTGAGAGCGCGCTGGAAGCGACAAGTAAGTGAAATAAAAACACGCTATACATAGTATAAAATTAAGAACAATTCTGAGATAACATACTATTTATTTTATTTTATTTATTAATTTACTTAGAATTTTCTTAATGCATATATATTCACACAAAATTCATATATATGTATTTACATATTTGTGGCATTTTCATAAAACAACTTATTTCGAGTTAAGTAATTTTTTCCAACAATATTTAATTGGGTTCCCAAGCAATAACTTAACATAACTTGAGATGTCCCTTTAATTAGGGTTGCAGAAGTATTGATTTTATTAGGACGGCTCAAGTAAATCAATACGCTAATGTTCTAAAATTACTAGCTTACTTATTTTTAAATATCACTATTTGAATACAAAAGTACAGGCGCCTCCTCTTGTGTGACAACATCAAGAAACACACCACAAATTGGCCAAACATATATTATCATTACGCAAATTGCAAAAAATACGTTCGGGAATTCATCATGCATAAATCGAAAACGAAATGGAAAATTAATCATCGTGTGCACCCTCCTTATTTGTTGCGTACTCGCTTGTCACAGTTCATTCCCCCGCATCAACCCAGGAGAGCTGCTTCTGCGGAAACCGCAGCGTGCTTTTACGCATGTTGTCCAAAGGCGTAAATTCACCATGATATATTTTTCGTGTGCTCTGAGTCATCTTGTTGTGTTCAAAAGCGTACTCAAAATATATCGTAATTGATATTATCTATTCGCTAAAAATTTTCATCGACCGTTTATTTACCTTCCAGCTAAAGGGGCACTAAAATGTAATTTTTTTTGTTGTTGAGAATCGAAAGTAGGTAGTCTCCCTTGACGATATGATTAACATGTATTTTGCGTTTTCTAACAAACGGAAAATTTTGAGTTTATACGTTTTTGAAGAACGTGTGCGATATCGAAACGCGATGACGGGTAATTCAACTTTCGCTGCGTGAGAAAGGTAATTTCGTAAAATGTACATATTTTAATGTTAAATTACTCAGGTCAACTATTAATAAAAAATGTTAGTTCGAAGATATCTTTAGTGGTTTATTGGTTGTGCAACCACGATAGGTACTAAAATATTTTGTCATACGTGTAGTTTTATATGTAAAATCAATTTTGTATAAATAAATTTATTTAATATTATGTATTTTTTGGGTAGAAGTTGTTTCAGTGAGCCAAATGTATTATGTTACATTTGTGGTGAATATACAACCAAAAAGTTCCGAAAACCTATAACAGATGTTAAAAAAATTGATAATTTTTCCTACTTCGTGCCTGAGCCAATTTATAGAAAAGTACTCCGAATAGTGACAACTATAAGGAGAATGAAAATTTCCGAGCCGGCCGGGCTAGTGAACATTTTGACTGCAATAATCACATCTTTTGTTCTAATGTTACTGCTAAGACTTCTAATAAATGTATGGCTTTCAGTTCTAAAGGATTTTTTTTTTATATAATTACTGCATTTTAATTGTTTCACTTCTGAAAGCTTGTCGCGCGAATAGCAAACCGGCATTTAAATATCTGCATACATACATATACATACATATCTAACCAACTATGCATGTACGCTGAATTCGCCGACAAGCTTTTTTAAAAACGAAGTAAATTAGTACAAATTGTTAGTAATTTTCATTAGAGTTTGAATAACTCCTTTCACTAAATGGCTTTTAGTAACTTTAACGAGACCTTAACTTATTTTATTTTATTAATTTTAGTGCAGTTTTGACAAAATTTTCTTGCTAAAAAATCTTTTGTTACACTACTTCATTTTATTCCTTTGATTGTACAGGTTAAATAAAAGCTGGTTTTTAAAAAATATTTTTTTTACATTAATTTATTTTATAGTTTTTTAGTCCATTTGTAAAAGCGTTGTATATTAAAAAGTGTTATTTTATTTTATGTACAAA